CACTAAAAGTGAGAAGAATATGTGAATTTATTTGTTTTATTTATCGTATATAAATATTATATACTTTCAAAAGAAAATAAAAATAAAAAAATTACATAAAAAAATGAAATCTTTTAAATAATTGATTTAATATTAACATTGATATATATTTTTTCAAAATTTTATGATATCTTCAAATTTATATTTTATTCAAAAATAAAATCATTATTGCTTTCTTAAAAACACATAAAATCGTATTATAACATCGACAGAGACAAATAATAAAATAGAACATGAAAATCGAGATGTGTCTCGATGTATTGCGCGAGTACTCTTCTAGTCAATAATAATATAAATGAATTATTTCTTAATTCGAGACCAAACCCCACGACATCTTTGACAACGAGAATTATGATGATGAATCTCTATATCATATATAATATTTGATATATGAACATATTTTTATATAACGAGTCAATAATGTTAAACAATTTAAATTAGCTTATATATTATCAAGTAAAAAATAAGATATCGAATATGTAAGAAAAATAAAATATCCTATTACAAAAGCCACAGATTAAGTCATGGCGTGCCACAAGCTTAACTTGGTGTCATATATGTTAGAAAAATTTAGGATTACAGGGTAAACATTAATTGGAATTTGGATTGCTTAAGGATTGTGTAAGTTCACTTTCCAAATTGCTATTTCGACTCTATGTTTGGGTATCACGAAATTCAATCTAGAATAATCTTTAAGAACACTTTCGAATTTAGGCACAAAAACGAAAGTCGGGTTACTAGAGAATAATTGAATGTTCACACAAGACTTGGTGAAATTTTTAAGTCTTTTAGAATTTAGATCCGAAAAGTTTTCTAGGGGCACCCCGCCATTTTGTCGTATCCAAGATCAAATTCGTGTTATATACAGGTGTGCACTTCGTACCACCTAACTTGTATTAGATCACAATTCGAAACCCATTGACACTCGTGTTAATTCAAATTACGCTTAAACAGCCGGTGAAACTATAACCACCAACAATTTAAGTCACAACAAGCTTTTTAGAACACTGATTATTACTTATTATAATTAACGACATGGTCAATATGGTGGCTGATTCAGAGCATCTCCAACATATTTTTTATAATCTCTAAAATAAAAACCAAAAGTAAAAATCTCTATAAAGTTTATACTCAACTCCAACAAATTCTCTAGTTTATAGATTTCAACATTAATAATATTATTAAAATATTATATAATTTTATAATCTCAATAAACTTCAAGAAATTTTATATAAAGTAATAATTATTATTCTCATTGGTAAAAAATAATTAAAATAATCACTTCTCTGTACTCAAATTCCATTTTAAAGAATTATCTAAACTTGAAGTACTTTTTATTGTTTTCTCTATCTGAATGAGTAACATAAAAATAAAAACTCTTATTTTCTCTATTTAAAGAATTTGTTGAAGATGTTCAAAAGGCTGAATCCAAATTGGATGAATGATTAATATCATTAACAACTTTCCTATTGTTTTTTAGAATAAAAGGCTAAAGTTAGAATTAAGAAAAAGAAGTTATATTTAATTCTTTAAATATAATATTGATTTTAATATTAAAATGTGAGAAAAATTAAAAAATAAAATCAAGGGACTTTTAGATTTTGAGCAACTTTCTAGACAATTTTTTTGAAGAAATAAATTATTAAAATTTTTAAAACCGATTAAATTGATTCTTTTAACCTATAAAACCGAATCAATTAAGAGATACTAGAAGAGTATTCGCACAATATAGCAAGAAACATCTTGATTTTAATGTTCTATTTTATTATTTGTCTATGTCGATGTTATAATACGATTTTATGTGTTTTTAAGAAAGCAATAATGATTTTATTTTTGAATAAAATATAAATTTGAAGATATCATAAAAATTTGAAGAAAAAAAAATTATCAATGTTAATATCAAATCAACTATTTAATAGTTCTCATTTTTTTTTATGTAATTTCTTTAATTTTTTTATTATAATTTAATTTAAGTTTAATAACGAAATAATTTATTTTGGTTTAATAATATAACATTTTATAAAGATAATAATTAAGTATTCTGTTAGAACTCAGTGATTATCCTAATTATATTTTAGATTTTTTATATTTAAAATAAAATGTTTATCTTGTATTTGATTATGTTTATCTACAGTTAGTTACACGAAATCAAATATGAAGCTTTAATAAGTTATACTTAGGCACAATCTACTTACAATCTTGAGTTTTAAGTAATATGCATTAATAAACAGTACTCTAACGCATAAAAAATGGTTTTTAAGAATTTTTGTCAAATGTTTTATAATATAATATAGATTTTGGTATTTTTATGATTTTATTAAAATCTTATAACAATTGAATATAAAACTTGTCCTTTATCTCTTGATATGTTTTTGAGTAAATTACGAATTTGATCCTCATGGTATACGAGATTATATGGAAATGTCCCCTAAATTTATTTTTATTTTTTGAATACTCATGATAATGTCTGTTAAATTTTAGAGCAAATTATTCTTTCTAATTTTCCAGCATTTTAGGAATTTGTATCAACCTTTTTAAAGCAGAGGCCAAAATGCATGAACCAAAACTTGTGTTTGAAATTGTTTATTTAAAACAACTTATACTTTTCTATAAAAATACTTATCTAACTTATTATAAGTTAGAAGACTTTAACTTCTTCAAAAACTCCTTATTACCGATTTGGCACCAGTATAAGTTGTTTATCCAAACACTCAAAAATGTTTATTACAAAATAAGTCAATAAGTTGTTTTTATAAGCAATCTCAAACACCCGATTTGAAGGCCAAAGAAGAATATCATCTTCTTCTATAATTCTCCAGCATCAGCCCACTGCTCTGCCATCACCAGTCCATCCCCGCACTGCTCCGACATCTCCCCCCACCAATATCTTCCATCCACCCATCTACCAGCCACCCCTAATTGCACTCATATGACCCCCTCCAACTAGCAAGGGGATGAAGCAAAACCCACCACCTTCCATCGTCAACGACGACGACCAAAACGAAAGTTTACACCCTGCAACTCCCCTTCAAACATAAACACACTTTTACACACTGCAGCGATCATACTCTTCCCACTGTCACACGTTGCAACCTTAGCTATAGGCCATGGGGGCGACGACCATGGGCAGCAAAAGCCCAAAGGGCATCACCAGCCCATGCCTTCTTAGCTTTGGGTAGGCTCAAATTAGGAAGGTAAAATCAGCTGTCGCTCCATACTCTTCTCATGGGCCTTGCCACTTCTCACTCGAATGGCTCCTCTGCCGGTCTGCCCTAGCGTGTAATCGACTAATGGTTCAATACAGCTTACCCCTCCATTTTCACTTGGGTTTCTTTGATCGAGTTCTAAGTTTATTAGTTTGATTTGGCAGAGTTTTGGGTTTCTTTCTTCAATTTGTAAGAAATTTCACATCATTGGTTTGTTTGTTCGATTTAATAGAGTTTTGGGTTTCTTTATTCGATTTTGCAAAAGTTTTGGTTTCTTTCTTTGTTCAATTTTGTAGTGTCTTCTCCGAGTTTGTACCACTTCCCATTTCAATGGTTTGTAAGAGGATTTTTTTGCATAAATATCTTCTGCACATGTTTTTCAATGTATTTTAACCAATGGAGTGAGGTTCTTTCTCAGTGATCCCATTTTTTAAATCAGTTATAAGACTTAAGGGAGGATATTTTTTGAGACCCAAAAAACCAACATCTTTATAGCGTCCGTTTCTTGTCATCGTAATCAAGAAAGTTAACAACTTATCATCCAAATAATCGAATTTGAATGCTTTTCTAACCTTGCAAGCCGCTGGAAGAAGACTGCCATAGATGATGTGACTACGGCCATGGTGGAAGGGTTATATAAGCAGCAGCTGAAAACATAGGTGGATTTTCCGTATCAATGTTATCACTACCAGAAAAATTGTCAACAACAGGTGGTAAAATTGGTTACGATAAAGGCCAATATTAGTTGGTATCACCCGTTAGCAACAGAAAATGAAAATAGACCAATTGGAAAATAGCACTATTCATTTAGCCAAGGATCTGTGGTGACCTTCAGTGAATTACCAATGCAAGTGTTGGTAAATCAAGATAAAATGGTTTCTACATGTCATAATCAGTTGGTGTCTCAAGGATTTAGCAGCAGATTAACATATGTACCTTTTCGTTTATACAGCCTTTCGAAAAGCTCAATTTGAGTAGATGTTGTTCCGGATTCAGTCTCCTATGTCAAATAAAAATATACACAGCAGATGAAGAGAGAGTTGAAATTTTGCAGCATGTATATCATCATGGGTACAACCAACAATTAATAAATGAGGCACTTACTGTTTATCATCAATGGCAGCCACCAAAGCTCGGGTACAACTAAGAACAAAATCACAAGGCTTCAACCTGACACCAGAGGACTTAAAAAAATCTCTATCCATGTTTGTATTCTCCTTACAGACATACAGTATTGGAATTAAGAATGATTAACTGTTAGGAAATTTGAAATTCACATTAAAAGCAACTCAATTTGAAGATGCCAACTTGAATAACCAACAATCTAAAAGATGATATATGGAAAAGAACACACATAAAATCCCGGTAAGCTTCAAGTTTCCCACATAGAATCCTAAAGTGCATAAAATATGGCCAATCCAGTGTCGTTATATCGACAATTTCTACACAAAAATCAATTAAGCAGCAAAAAAGTTGTGAACCTGCAAAACAACAATCCAATAATTCAAGGTATGGCTTTCTTAAAAGTAATAACCATCACATATACAACCCATTTGATTGCTATAACATACATATTTTGCTTTCAAGTGTGAGAATGAACCCCCGCTTGCATCATCCCCTCTTTCTTGGCTCGTTAAGTTCATTTGCTAACATAGGAGTAAGAAGCTAACATACAGGAATATAAGGACATCAATGGTGGGCATTTATGATAGAACTATGCAACCATGAAAAGTCCAAAGCTAAATGGATGAAAATTCCCTTCACTTATATTTAAGGCCACAGCATTCCGGAACTTCTTACAGCCAGTCAGAAGCCACCCAGTCAGGATTCGTTCAACTACTGAAAGGCGAACATATATACAGAGAGAAAAACAAATTAACATGTCAAAAATGATATCCGTTTGTGGAGGAAGGAAGTTAAGAAACATATCACTTGATTTGACAACATTTTGAGGATTCACCATCCACAGATTCACCTCAATAGAAGTAAAGTCCTTATTGTGAAAGCAATGCACATATCCCAGGGACCTACAACTAACAAAGTAAACATATTTAATACCTAGAACTAAAGCGTACCTTTGCATTTGCGGTGCAAAATGATACTGGCTGGTCTACCTTGGCTTCTTCATTGATCAACGATGTAACGTTGCACAAGCCTAAAAACAGTTACCTAGGCTTGCTGTCACTAGCACCTTCAATTTCTGGTTTCTTGGTCTATTTCACTTCTCAACCTTTAACCAAATGTGGCCCACATTATTTATATCAAGATCACAAGGTAAAGTACACAAACGTACAGCTCAAATCATCTTCCAGATAGCCTAGAACCAATTTCGTTTACAGTAGTTATCATCAAGAAGCAAACTTATATCTTAGGCTAATACATAACAGCGTGCAACAAATGGCGGTTATCGAAAGAACATCAGATGTTATCTTTTCTGTTCTGCATTTAGTACAGGATAACTGAATCCTTCCTTGTTTTTTCAGCCAATCAGTAATGGGACTTGAATGGAGAACTAAAAATTCGTGTATTCAAAAACTTATAAATGAAGTATAATACATTGAACGTATGATCTTGAAACTGAGGCCAAGGAAACTAACTAAAACATCTGGACCGATCCCAGAAACAATATTTGAACTAGAATACAACAGGGCATAGAAGTTAAGGAACAACTACTGCTATGAATCCTAGAAAACCATTCAGTCACATAAAATTTAATTCCTTTCAATCTGTATTTCACTTCATGTCAACTTCTGTCTATTTAAATAATAGAAATGCTTTTGGAAGTCCAAAACAGCCAGAACCAGGTGCCGGAAACCAATCTCTGGCCACATAATAGATGGTGAATACAAGAGGCAGCTAGTGCTCTGCCACAAAAGAAAATTACTCAAACGAGTCACACCGGATGTACGGATTATGATATCAGGGTCAGGTGCAACAGCCATATACATATGCCTTTCAATATCCGACACATCAATGGTATTTTTTTCCTGATTTCTCTCGTTCCCAAGTTCCATAAACCCATATCCTGCTCCACAATCATCCAAAACTTTTATTTTACCCCATCTTTCTTCACAAGATTCTTCAACAGCATGCAAAATCTCGTCAGTGGAAGTATATGCAATACATATTGATAGCACCGCTTTAGAGTTCTTGGCAGTTGCATCCATAGCCCTCTCTGCTGCCAACCTCACAGGTCTGCTTAGGAGTTTGAGGTTTCCTATGAAGTAAACCCTAACACCATATTGGTTAACTATGCTCTCCTCTTTTATCAACCCTTCAATCTTTTCCTCCATCAAGTCCATCAAAGATTGGACTTCTTCAGGACTTCGTTTAAAATTTTCTATGCTAAAGGCATAAATTGTCACATACTTCACCCCCAGCTCGTAGCAGTATCTAAGCATTGACATTAATGATGAAAACCCAACCCTATGTCCAGCCCCATCAATCAAATTGTGCTGCTTAGAGTATCTTCTATTGCCATCCATTATGAAGGCAATATGATTAGGTGTGGCAGCTACAGAAAGGATGCCAAAAAAACATTTCCTTGCAAAACTAGCCAAACTCTCAAATACTTGAGTTATTTGTTTAACATCCATACCAAATTTCCAAGAATCCAAATTTCCTGTAGCCTATTGGACCTGTTAGTGAAAATAAAATGCTTTTAGTTAACCGACCCACAAGAGAAACAGAAACTAGTGAACTACACAACATACACTAATATATAAAGAACGGATTGTAGAACTATAAACATAGGATGATTTTATTTCCAAGAGGTAGTTACGTATCCATAATTCCATATACTGAATAAACAATTTCTGTATTTATCTCGTTGCCATATAGTGCTACCTTCATAGTTAGTGTCCAAGCTCCATCATTACTGCATGAATTCAGTTCAAAGTGAATCTAGTATAGCTTTTGTTATCACATTGGCAGCAAAACAAGCAAATTCACAAAAAAGTTTTCTAATAGAAGTGATCAAGAGAGAAAACCATAAAATCATATTCAGATTTCATGATGTCTAATTGTCCCTACAATGAGATACAACATTAAGTTCAATTTTTATATTCATATTTGATTGTAAGTTGCAATATGGCAAAAACAATCATGACAGATGCAGAATTACACAAAAACATTACCAAATAAGTTTTCCAAAAGGAGCAAGGGTGGAAGGATTTCGATCAGGGTGGTTTATTAAATGTAATTATATGACTCCTGAAGTTGACCATAAAATCTAACAGATGTAAAAAGAATGCACATCAGAAAGTGAACAACCATGAGTGAGTAAAGCCGTAAAGGAGAAAAGTTCAAAAGTCAATGTGTGAAATTTCACAGTCAAGATGAAACCAAAGATGGACTTCAAAAGGGAACCTATTATGGATTTCATTGATTAAAAATTAATCACATGAAAGATCACAAGAGAGGACCTTTTCTATCAGTGGAAACAAAATCACAGGTAGAAATATTCAGTCATTCCTCACGTGATAAAAATCTCTAATTTTTTTGCTTCAAGTGGTAAAAAAATAGTGTGATGTTTAAAATAAAAATCGTTGACATAGATTTTAAGCTTTAAAAGTGTCTTGATATGAAGCGAACAGTACAGTTTGAATATGGGTGCTCAGATGGCCATTGAAAGATGTAAATCATAAGGAAGACAGGATGTATGAAAAGCAAATCGCTTGATTTCAATCACATACGGAAAGTTTTCCAACAAGTTGTGGAATGTGTTTCTTGAATGAACATTAATTTGACACAATAATAACAAAACTCAACAAAGACAACACTTCCAAAAATGCCAAACTTGTTTTCCATTGTGCATGCTTAATATGAGACCAGTTAAATACACCCAAAAATCCTAAACTTGAAATTGAAATTCGGAGAACGGAACATGGCAAGGACTGAAAGTATCATGTATCCACAACAACTACACAAGGGCCATGGTATTCATATAAACAAAGAACAAGACTTTAGACACAATTATGCAAAGAGAGCAAAAATGTGCATCTTGACATTGTTACAGATCATAATGCAGTATATAGACAATTTTAGCATATGAAATAAGACAAACAGAGATTTGACATAACTTACACTTTCAGTATTTAAACGGTTTCAGTCTAATTTATATAAACCAGGTTACCACCAGATTACTTATTAGCAAGTAGAAACTAGCAAGAAGACAAGTGATTCAGTGAAGAAACCATTATCGATCTAGAATACACCGAATTAAAATCATATAAGTCATACAGAGGTGAGCGTTCATGGATTCAGGCTACAGTGACGGGTGTAGGACATTTCAAAGGTTCAGTGGTAGACCGCCACGAGGGGGGTCTATACAGGTTTCTCACACTAAGGGGATGTTGGATTGGTATTTCATTAAATCCAGTATTGATTAAGGTGTCTATAAGGATTTAGTTGTTTGTATAGATTGGACTTAAAATGTTGTTTGGTTGTTGGGCTGAATATGCAGTCTAAATGACAGAAATGACTATTTCCCCTCGGTCTACATCAGATCAATAAGAGTCGAATTTAAATACAATGTCCACCAATATAAACAATTTGTCAATTTCCTACATCAAAAATGATGAAGCCTCTGATTGAGTCCCAACCTTCAAGCTCAATGATCCAATCTAACCAATTTCCAGGCAAATCAAATTACAACCAAATAAGATAAGAAAATTAATAAAATGAAAAACATAAAGAACAAATGAAGAACAACAGTGATATGCCATGGCTCATAGTTTTTCAACCTTAAACATAAATCTTTCAAACAATCTTGGACAAAAAACAAGYTGGTGTAGCAGAAGGAAATGCAAACTTGAGAAGGTCATGGCTTATGGTTTTTTATAAGCAAATTTTGGTCACGCTTTTCACATATCCAATGAAGAACAAACGAAATAAAAAAAAAGTTAGCATTTCCAGATATCCAGGATTTTATTACCGACCTTTATGAACTCAAGGAAGTTGAATTAGGTTTGCAGTTGCAAAATCACTACCGTGAGTGAGGCTTCCTGTAGGCTATAGTGATTTAAAATCCAAGTATCCAACAGCATAAAAGTTTAATCGATGGATCATAAAGGTCTGTAATCACTAAACCCTAAAACAAAGATAATATAAGAAAAGGGTTTTTTTCAACAATTCAACTTTAAAAAAGATGGATTACTTCACTTAGCAGCAGAGCAGTAGCGATGGGGACAGAGAGGGCGAGAGTTTCTGGACCGAGGGGAGACTGGGTGAGGGTGCGCCTACCGTCGCCTTCGAGCGTCGTTTTCACTATTCAAAACTCGATTTCTTCTGAAGTTCTTTAGTGAGGTTTGATCGACTCCAAGGGTTTTTTATGAAACCCTGAAGAAAATTAATAAAAAGGAGGATGGCAAACCAGGGTGCTTGCATTCGTCGACCGGAGAAGATGGACCGTAGTCCACCGGAGAAATTTGCCAGAGCAGCGATAGGGAGATCAGATTGATCTAAGAGGAAGCCGTCTTTCAAAGAGGAGGCAGGGGTAGGAGTTATCTTTTGAGCGGCTTATGTGAACAAATGAGAGAAATGTACAAAGTATGAAGGTAAGCCAAGGCCAATCCTGCCCTCCATGTGGCTCCGCCACTGAATAGTAGTGATCAAAAAATACAACAGTAAAAATCATATTCAGGTTTCATGATACCCAATTCAAACGACATAAAATTCACATTCCGAAGAACTCGTTAACTGCAAGTAGCAACATAGCAAAAATATATTTAACATCATGGAGTAAATCCAACTAAAATCATGGCAAACACGCCAAAACCATACTAAACAGAGTATGAATCTTATAGATGAGGTCAATTGTCAACCGATCGTAATGAACTTGCAGCAGAAACTAATAAACAGTTCAATTGCGTCCAGGAGGCTACACTAACCACTGAAACGTTTTCCGCAGGAAGATCTTCAATGACAAATCTTTCAACCGGAATATGAGACGAGAAGAGAAGAAGAAGACCGTCGCCGGAGATTGGGTGGTCGTCGGAGATTGTTGGGCGATTTGAACAAGGAAAATTGGGGGTTTTAAGCACAAAATCTTGGTGCGAATTATTAAATACGATGGTTTCTTTTAATTTAATTATTGATCCGATTTTCCGTAAAATACGACATTGAAGATCAACTCCCATTTAAATTTGGTATTTATAGTTTGACTAAATTAAGCATTTGGTTACTATGGCTTCCAATTGGATTTGCTTCCAGAATTTGTTTATTCCAAAATAGACCCTAGAGTTTGAATTCTCGTAATACATTGATCCCTGTCACTAACGACCATTTAAAACATCCGTTAAATGAGGGCAATTTGGTCAATTGCTATTTTTTTGTCATTAGCTCATTTTTAAATAAATAAATAAAAACAAACCATCATCTTCAATCGCCTTCTCCGGCCATTAGGCTACGTGGTACATGGGACGGGGCAGGACGAGACAAAACTCGTTGTCTAAGAACTGAGATAAGGTGGAACAACATGGGATAAATGAGGTTTTTTCTTGTGGTGGAACAAGATGGGACAAGAATGAGCCAGAAACTAAAATATTACTAATCTACTATATTTTGATGTATAATCTTAATATGATATTTATTTTAATGATCACCACCGCTAGTTTCGGTCGTCACCACCACCGGCTGTCATCGACGGCCACCTCCACCTTATCTCCTCTTCCACTACAACAACATCCTCCATCGCCTCCACAACCACCATCCATCACCACCTCTACCACAGTCGACCATTGACCACCACCGTCCATTGCCACCACCACTACCGCCATTAGGCACCTCCAACTCCTCCTCCACGACAACAATCTCCTCCACTATCGTAACAAAAGTAAAAAAAAAAAGTTTCTTACATGAATTATTGAAAAAGTAAACCTCAAGATACATATGTTAAACCACAAGGGTGGTGCCTGATTGGTTTGAGCTTGGCTCCAAAGGTCAAAAGTACCATGAAATCCCAAGTTCAAATCCATAAAGGAATAAAAATCTTCTTGTGGCCACGGAGATTCAAATGCGGTGACTCCGGGTTATCTGCAATATAGGTGGTCGCTCTGGGATTAGTCATCTCGCATAGCGGGTTGGATATCCAAGTTAATAAAAAAAAAATATGTATGTTAACTCATATTAATGAGTTATAATGCCGGCTAGGCATGAGAATGGAATGGGACCCCAATTCTCATCCTCGTCTATGATCCCCAATCTTCATCACATCACTGTCCTCAACCTCACCCTTGTCGGGGAATGTGATCACATCTCCATTCTCGTTCCCAATAGGGAAACATGGATCCCCAATGGGGAATCGAGGACTTTTTTCTCGTTTAAATTAAATATTTTAAATCAAATGTGTTAAACATTAACAATCTATTCAAAATGGTCCGGTTTAAATCTTACATATTTCCACAGTTTTGCTTTGATGGAGTATCAATGTTAACAAAATCACAACATCACACGTAATTGTTTAATCAACTGCGTTCAGATCTCCATATAATCATATATAAAAAATAAAACAGGTTAGAAAAATGTATATATGTTCAATTTAAGAGAAAATTATTATCGTTGTATTCTCAAATTTGAGTCGGCCGTATGGAATTGACGCCACATATAAATATAAGTACAAGGATTTAAAAACCAAAGATGATGATACTACCTAGAAGATAATAATGACTAAGCTAAAAGAACCTATCATCTAGGAGATAATGGCTAAGCTGATCTACAATCTATATCCACACGGGGATGCTTCTTTCCGAGTAACTACAAGTTGGATGAAATTGAGCTGCTTTAAAAAAATAAGAAAAATGTCAAAATACTTTTTCTAAATCTAAAAGATACTATATCTAATTATTTATAAATAATATATATAGTAATAAATATACAATACATTTAATAATTATTATATAATCTATACTATATTATAAAACATTTGACAAAAACTCTTAAAAGTCATTTTTATGCATAAAGTGCTGTAGATAAACATAATCAAATATTGAATAAACATCTCATTTTAAATATAAAAAATCTAAAATATAATTAGGATCATCATTAAGTTATAACAGAATACTTAGTTATTATCTTTATTAAAAGTTATATTATTAAACCTAAATTAAATTATAATTAAAAAAATTTAATTAAGGAAATTACACCAAAACACAAGAACTTTTGAAAAAATTAATTTGATACTGATATCGATATTTTCTTTTTTAAAATTTTATGATATTCTTACATTTATATTTTATTCAAAAATAAAAACATTGTCGTTTTCACAAAACCACATAAAACTTTATTATATCGACATAAACAAGTAATAAAACGAAACATTGAAATCAATATGTATCTCGATGCATTGCACGAGTACTCTTCTAGTATATTTAATATACGAGGACCGCGGAAGCGGAGTTGGGGTTCACATTATCCGGCCCCAACCCTGTCTTATCCCTAGTTTTTAAATTTTAGGGATTCCCGTCCCCATCCCCGATCCTCATTTTTGTGGAGGATCCTTAACCTGATCGAGGCGAATACACTGGGTTTCCCAATGGGACAGGTCTCATTCTCATGCCTAACGTCAGCTAAATATGCATTCTCAAATGATTTTTTTTAATGATTTACACATTAATATTTATTTTTTAATTTTTCATGATATTTATCATTTTTATTTAAATGAGGTGGGATAAATGAGGTTTTTTCTTGTTCCACCAAAATAGGTGGAACAAGATGAGACAAAAATGAGTCAGAAACTAAAATATTACCAATCTACTATAGTTTGATATGTAATCTTAATATAGTATTTATTTTAATGATCAGCACCGCTAGTTTCGGTCGTCGCCATCACCGGCTGTCACCGGCGGCCACCTCCACCTTATCTCATCTTCCACTACAACAATACCGCCATTGGCCACCTCCAACTTCTCCTCCACTACAACAATCTCCTCCACTATCGTAACAAAAGTAAAAAACAAATCTTACATAAATTATTGAAAAAGTAAACCTCAAGATACGTATGTTAACTCATATTAATGAGTTATAATGTCGGCTAGGCATGAGAATGGAATGGGACCCCAATTCCCGTCCCCTTCTATGATCCCCAATCTTCATCCCATCCCCGTCCTCATCCCCACCCCTGTCGGGGAATGTGATCACATCTCCATTCTCGTTCCCAATAGGGAAACACGGATCCCCAACGGGGAATCGAGGACTTTTTTCTCGTTTAAATTAAATATTTTAAATCAAATGTGTTAAAAATTAACAATCTGTTCAAAATGGTCCAGTTTAAATCTTACATATTTCCACAATTTTGCTTTGATGGAGTATCAATGTTAACAAAATCACAACATCACACGTAATTGTTTAATCAACCATTTTCAAATATCCATATAATCATATAAAAAATAAAACAAGTTAGAAAAAATGTATATATGTTCGATTTAAGAGAAAATTATTATCGTTGTATTCTCAAATTTGGGTCAAGACGTATGGAATTGACGCCACGTATAAATTATCAGTACAAGGATTTAAAAACCAAAGATGATGATACTACCTAGAAGATAATTATGACTGAGCTAAAAGAAGCTATCATCTAGGAGATAATGGCTAAGCTGATCTACAATCTATATCCACACGAGGATGCTTCTTTCTGAGTAACTACAAGTTGGACGAAATTGAGCTGCTTTAACAATATAAGAAAAACGTCAAAATACTTTTTCTAAATCTAAAAGATACTATATCTAATTATTTATAAATAACTAGAATGGTACTCGCGCAATGCAACGAGATATATCTTGATTTTAATATTTTATTTTGTTCTTTATCTCAATCGATGTTATAGTATAATCTTATGTGATTTTGAAGAAAAAAAACGATATTATTTTTATTTTTTAATGAAATATAAATTTAATGATATCATAAATATTTGACAAAAATATAATCGATATTCGTATCAAATTAACTATTTAAAA